GGAGTTCTAGGAATTTATTTTTCTTGAATAGCAAGTGGAGATGTTCCTAACCTTCCTTGAAGTCAATGTGCCAAACTCCTATTTCATTATCATTTATTTAGTAACTTCGACAAATTTACAATGTAAATATAATCTAAAGCATCGCTCTATTAATTAACTGATTTATATTATTGTTGTAAAAACCTATGTGTAAATAGATTGTTAATATTCCTATAAATTTTAAAGTTAAAATCACTCATCATTTAAATAGGTACTAATTTGTTAAATAACTATAAAAATAATAGCTCAACGACTGTTAAAATAATAAATCCCTATATAAAACCATTAAAATAGGAAATCTATTTTCCTACAAATTTTATTTAACTACACACAATCAGTGCATACGAATACAAAATTATAGACACATACCTATACGTACATATAGGTATATCTATGTATAGACAAATATACATACAAAAAAAAACATATATATACACATATAACTATGCATACAGCTTGTATTAAATAAGTACACATATAATGTGCATACACTCGTTTATACATATACATAAAACATATACATACATAGTCAATGGCACACTCATTTCATATATAAAGTGAATTAAAAACACTATTTTTAATACTAGTCAATTAAAATGTCATGATTGCTTTTGAATTCAAAATTAAACAATTGAGTAAAATAATAATTAAAATTTCATACCTTATCCCTAGTCTCATTTTCCATAATGTAAAATACCAATTCAGTAAAGAATGTGATGGAGCCGATTTTTACATGGAAGGCGATGAAGAAAAATAGGTAAACTCTTATTTTCTAACTTAATGACAATTAATTGGCATAATTTATGGAAACATATTTTAACACTCCTTATTTATCTTATTAACTTATTTGAATATTTTAATTAGTTTATTGATTAAAAACCCATTTTGTTGTTCAAATATTATTTTTATATTAAATTATTCAAAAAAGCACTAATTGAAAAAGAGGAAATACATCTAAGTTCAATACAAAAACAAAATGAGTTAAAATCACATAACAAACCCAATGCATTATTTAATTTGATCATAATAAACTTAAGTTAATAGGCGCATTGATCGTTCAAGGCATCTGGAACACATTTCATTGTAAAAACAATATAATTAGTCACAATGACTATAGTTATATTAATTAAAAAATAAATTAAAAACATTAATAATAATCTAGATAGACATGATAAATATGAAAAACAAGCATGTGATGCTACAAAATCCTACCCCTTAAAAATAAATTTCGAGGCTAGAAATTTATTTAAAGGGGTAAATGCATGTACCTGGCATGTATCTCATAGAAGTCCATAAACAGAGCCTTTACCTTTATTTCTTTCCAATCTCGTCATTTTTTCATTTTTTTTATAAGGTAAATTCATACAAATTTTGCTAATCTAAAGCAGAAGACACAAGATTCTTATATATATATAATCTTAAGTTTGTGTGGTGTAACAATTTCTTTAAGGTGGTAAACTGAGAATATCAACTATTGATGCATCTTAATACTCTTGAATAAGTGAGGCTTGCTCAATGAGGAGACTTGTCCTTAGTAACAAAAACTTATTTTAACAAATGACGAGTCCTTGTGGCTATATAATAGAGATGGAAAGTTTGACTAATAGATACACGAGTGGCTATGTTGTTATAGGGTCCATATTATCCTAGTGATATTGTTCGATCGTGAATTAAGAAAGTCAACTGCATCATCTACTTCTCCTTTTGACATAATTAAAGGCATCTCTACTATAATGCATTACAACATTACTAGATTTATGTTGCTACTACATCAATTACATATCAATCAACGAAAATCACTTCCAGCAAAATAAAAAATAAGCCTTGCTGGATGATTGTGAGATGACCTCTTATGGCGAGATTCGTAAATTTTTCTTTAATAAAATTTTAGTTAACATTCTTTTTTAAGAGTCTACGAAATCAATCTTACAACTCTTGGCTCTAATACCAAACTATAACACTCTCAAATCTAGATACATATATTCAAAAGTATTATCATTTAATTTCATCTTATAATCATAAATGCGAAAAACTCATTATAAATTTTTCTTTAACATAGAAGTATTAATGACTTTCATTTAAGGAAATGATTTTAGAAAACTTTTATATTTAATAAAAATATAAGATTAACAACTTAAATGTTAAACTTATTTAAACTTTAGTCAATATTAAATGTACTAGTACTAGTCCGTCTCACCATAAGTAGTCGTCTCGAATCATTCTGTCTTCATTATTTAAAAGTAGGGAGGGATAATGTGGAATGAGCATTGAACATTTATTATTTGGCTCACTTGGTATATCGTCTAACTAATCAGAATGTAGTAAACATTTATTATTTGGAATCCTGTCGAGTCCTATAGGTAGTACCGCAAACGATTAACATTAACATTATCATTAAACTTTGAACATTGAATATTGGTCGGGTGTACAAATCCCCCCACGCCCAATTCTCATTCATGCATTTCATGACATAGATATATATCTCGTCATAAAAACATTCGAGATACATATCTTTCTAAAAGATTAATTGACTTATGACATTGGAAAGCTTTTATTCCATGAAATTCATGTATGCTTATTGATGCATTGAGGTACATAAATATATCAATGTAATAATCAAATATCGAGATCACATAATAATAAATTCAAGGAACACATTAATACATTTAATAACGCAGTATGCACATGCAGACAATAAGAGGTTTACTTACTTGAAATTCCTAAAAATTTACTTTTCTTGAATGGCAAGTGAAGATGTTCTTAGCCACCCATGAAATCAATGTGCCAAAATCCTATATCATTACCATTTATTAAGTAACTTTGATAAATTTACAATTTAAATGTAACCTGAAGCATTGCTCTATTCATTAACTGATTTATTATTATTGTTGTAAAAACAATAATCTACATGTAAATAGGATTGTTACTGTTCCTATAAATTTTAAAATTAAAATCACTCATCATTCTAATATTTAGTAACTATAAAAATAATATATCAATAATTGTTAAGATAATAAAATCCTATATAACACCATTAAAATAAGAAATATATTTTCCTACAAATTTTATTTAACTGCACACAATCAGTGCACACGAATACAAATTTATAGACACGTGCCTATATATGCACATACACATATACTGGCGCATATCCATTTGGCCCTTATTAAATTTATATTTATTTTTAGTTTTTCTATTTTCAACTATATAATCTTCCATAAAATAATTTTATACGTAAATCGAAATTTTTTTCTTTCTTTTCAACCATTCATTTTCCAAAAAATATTATTTTACCCATTACAATTTGAAATAATGGGGGCCAAACAGTGCATACACTCATCCATGCATATACATACTAACAAACAGCATAAATATACGCAGTCAATGGCACACTCATTTCATATATAAAATGAAACAAAAATATTATTTTAATACTAATCAATTAAAATGTCATGATTTCTTTTGAATTCAAAATGAAACAATTGAGTAAAATAATAATTAAAATTTCATTCCTTACCACTATTCTCATTTTCCATAATGCAAAATACCGCTTCATTCATGAATGTGATGGAGCTGATTTTTACATGAGAGGCGGTGAAGAAAAATAGGTAAAGTCTTATTTTCTAACTTAATAACAATTAATTGGCATAATTTATGGAAATAAATTTTAACACTCTTTATTTATCTTATTGATTTATTTAAATCCTTTAATTATTTTATTGATTAAAAACCCATTTTGCTGTTCAAATATTTGAAAGAGGAAATGCAAATAAGTTCATTACAAAAACAAGACGAGTTAAAATCACATAATAAAGCCAAATTGTTATATAATTTAATCATATTAAACTTAAGTTAATAGACACATTGATTGTTCAGGACGTTAGAACACACTTCATTGTAAAAATAATATAATTAGTCACGATGAATATAGTTATATTAATTAAGAAATAAATTAAACATTAATAATAATCTAGATAGACATGATAAATATTAAAAACAAGTATGTGGTGTTATAGAATGTGTGGTTAAAAATTAAGAAAATATTTTGAATTTATGCATAATATTATTTTATTAGAAAATGTATTATTGAAGATAAATTTTGAAAAAATGAATTTTTTGAAAATTGGAACTCAAACAAGGCCTAAATATTTCTAATAGAAAAATTGTGAGCATATGTTCCTTTTTGGTAATAGTATAAATATTAGTATGTAAAATGTAAATTTGAAAAATACGATACGTAAACTGTAATACCTCCTACAGAGATTGTATTTTGTAAATTTCCCCCTTTCGACAATGTTGATTTGGATATATTAAAAGCAATCCATTAATAGCATGTTTGATAACCTTGAAGTGTAATTTAATTGGAAATCTTATTAAGCATGCTATAATCTCTCCCATATTTCAAATAATCTTATCTTTGCACGCATTCAATAATTTCCTTGTGTAAACCATTAGTTCTTTAAATTAAGAAACATCTTAAAAATTTATGCAATAACCTTTTTCACGACTTCGAATTATTATTAAATAATGTATTGATCAAATGATCTACTTTCATCTTTTGGAGAAACACAAAAATTAATCGCACAATCTTTCGTCATATTTGAATATCCCATGGGCAACATAAAAGTCTTTCGATGATTATAGGGTGAAAAATAAAGTGAAATTGGAAATTCACCAATAATAAACATACCATCATCTATGTATCTCTTCTCTTTTTGTTTGATCATTAGAGGGACTTTAAGTAAAAATTAAGTAACCTTCTAGGGATGCAAAAATAAAAGTTAAAGTAAGGTTTGCTATTTGGATTAAGGATGTCAGTACCAAGAAAAAACGAATAGTGACTGAAATCACCTGAGGGATCATAAATGAGGGACTATTGTGCAAAATCCTTATTCTTTTATACTGTAACGAAACATCCGATCATGAAATGCGAAAAACAACTCCCCATCTCAGCCGTTGATCCGGTTCACTGCTCCATCAAATCCCCCCAATCATCAGCCTACTTGATATATGCTCGGCCAACAACTCTGATACTGTCTCTCTCTCTGTAAATCCTAGGGACGACAAACCATGTCGACGATCTAGCAAACAAAGCCCTAAAATTTTCTCTCTCAATCTTCTCCCAATTTCCCCTACTTCTCTTTAACGTATAAATAACTTACATAATTTTTGCCTGAAATTGAGTTTTACCAATTATATATACACTTTTCTTTATAGATATATCTTTTTGGGTCTACGTTCATCTGGGTTTTCTTTATAGCCAAAGAAAAAGGGCGTTTTGAGCTGAATTGACTCACTGAGTTCAGATTCAACGAGTCAAGCTGGTTGTTTTCTGGTAAACTATATTTTAAATTCATCAAGTTCACCCCTTTTCTCGTTTTAAGCTCCATTTTGGCACTTTATGGAATATTTACGAATATCTTAGGCTTTGAGTAGCTAAAATTTATTTATTAATTTTTTTTTTTAAAGGTAAGCGAATGAATGACTTTTTCTGTGTATGTGTACACTTATGCGAGTATAGAGCATAATTTTTGTATTTTAGTTTATGTTTTGTTGGCACCTATTGTGTAATGATGGATTGTTCAAAGTGAGTTGATAATTTTAAATTTGCTTAAGAGTTTGAGTAATTGGATTATCAGATATTCTGAACAGTCTTCATGTTAATCTTATCAAATGAAGAATTATCACTAGAATGTCCTTAGGCCCCCAGTATATATATATATATTGTGTGTGTGTGTGTGAGAGAGAGAGAGATATAGACTCGCTTGTATAATATTATATCTTAGCATTTCCTAGAGTTGAAAAAGATTTTATTTTTTTTGTATTTAAATCATATCTTTAATGGACGCATTTTCAAGTTGAACTTTTTAAACAAGGTTGTCTTTTTCTCCAAGTTAATATACATGTAAATCTCTGTATATTTATTTGAACTTTAAATTGGTGATTCTATTTAAATTTTTGAAAATAAGGCTGTAATGTGTCTGTAACAGCATGGTTTTGATATTTGAGGAGGTCGCATAGTTGAAACCATGGGCAGTAGCGAGATGGACAAATCCTCCAAGGAAGGGAAGGAAGCGAAGGAGCCCAAAACTCCTACTTCACAGGTAATATGATACACTCCTTTTTCATGCACGTGAGTTGTAGGCTTGTAGCAATAGCAAAAAATGGAAATTTTCAATTACTTATTTTTGTTACTTTTTGATGGGAATTTCCAGGAGCAGCCTTCAATTACAGGCACAAGCACGGTTACTGGCGACTGGCCTGGCTTTCAGGTTAAAGTTTCTAAAAGATAGCAACTTGGACTTCATGCCTCCTTTCTCAACATTATTATAGGGTGTTGGTTATGGTTGTGCAGGCATATTCTCCTATGCCTCCACATGGATTCTTGGCGTCCAGTCCTCAGGCACATCCCTATATGTGGGGAATTCAGGTATATTTTCCCATTTATGTTTGGTATTGACTTATTAGATGTTACATGCCAACTACCACATACAATCATCATTAAACTACCGGGAGTTTCTGCTCAACAAAGGAAATATTAATGTACTAACTAAAAAGCTGAAAAAGGAAAAATAAAAATAGAAACGAAGTAAGTTCAATTCAGTCGATCAACTTGACTACTTTCTTTTACTGAGCTTTCTCAGTTGTCTACGTGGATCGTATGTCTTGCTTGGTTGCTTGTAAACCATGGCTTATACATTTCTGGAAAGTATGTCCCTACACATTGTTCAACAGTTTCGTAACCGTTACTGTTGTTTTGTTGACCTGTTGTGGGAAATCTTTGCCATCTATTTGGGATTGGTTTTGATTGAGTATTCAAATCATATAATTGTTCATATTGGAAAGCCCGTGAAGTAGGAGAATCCAAATCATATAATTGTTCTTATTGAAAAGCCTGTGATTTAGGACACTTTGGAAAGTTCAGATTGTTGTGGGTTTTACATCAACTCGATGATACTTTTTCGGAACTAGTGCTTGATAACTACTTTCTTTTAGGAGTTATTTTGCCTGTACCCTTTAGACTGATGATTCTAGTTGTTCATTAATTTTTGTTTGAAATTCTTATCTTACAGCAATTTATGCCACCCTATGGTACTCCACCACATCCATATGTCGCTATGTATCCTCATGGGGGCATATATGCACATCCAACTATGCCTCCGGTATTTTCTTGTTGATCTTCTTGTTTTAGTTTCATTTAAAATCATATTCCTCTACTCGAAGGGCTCTAACTTTTTGGTGTTCTTCTGTAAACTTGATTAGGGGTCTTATCCTTTCAGTCCTTTTGCCATGTCTCCAACTAGTATTGCTGAAGCTTCTGTGAGTTGTCTTCACACTTTTATTTCCTTTTTTTTTTTTTTGGTAGAATGTGCACGATTTCTAATGCTGCTATTGATTGTGCATTTCCATAAATTAATTGGGCAATATCTTAAATTTAATAATAGGGTAGTGCACCTGGAAACATGGAGGTAGATGGCAAGTCATCTGAGGGGAAGGAAAAACTTCCTATCAAAAGATCCAAGGGAAGTTTGGGCTCTTTGAACATGATTACTGGGAAGAACAGTGAACCCGGTAAAACATCAGGACCATCTGCAAATGGTGTCTATTCAAAAAGGTATAGTAAATCTGTGAACAAAGGGAATTGTCATAAATAAGTTCCACTATTTGGTGTTAAAATGTGCCTGCAAATTATTGTTGTGTTTACTTATTTGGATGTGGAATTGTTGTTTGTTTTTACTTATATATGTGTTGATTGTAAGTGCACATCTTTTTTTGCTAGAACTTATAGAAATATTTATCTGTATCCTCATTTTTTTTTTTGGGGGTTGGGGGGAGGCATTTGACTACTCTCCCTTTGGTATGCCTTCTGTCTCTCTTTCTCTTGTCTTCTCCCCCTTTCTCGGGCTTGTTATTTTTCCATTCCAAATTATGGTAATGACAACAATACGTTGAATTATGTGATCTCTTTAATGCTAATGCCTAAAATGGGTGGGAATATGATGGTGTGAATGATTTCAGTTCGTTATTAACTAAATTTTCGTATATGCAATTTGCAGTGCTGACAGTGCCAGTGAAGGTTCAAGTGAAGGAAGCGATGCAAATTCTCAAAATGTAAGAATTACAAACTTACTGGGTTATCTCGAATTTTTATCAGACTAATGTTGTGTGATGGTCATCTGCTTACATGTACGTCTTTAAAGTTGAGGTGAAGTCTCAGGATAAGCCTTTGATATTGAGGCATTAGTTGCATCTACTGTAGATAACCCTGCCTTTCTTATACATTCTTTTAACTGAATGCTGTTTTTTTGGCATCACCACCTAAGAAAGGAACATCTGCATACCATGTAGCATACTAGTCCTTTATAACTTCTTTTCAAAGATGACTGGTTTTTCCTTTACCAGTGTAAAGCATTTAAAACTTATCCAAGTATAATTATCCAGAAGGGTAAAAGAACGTGCTCATAGATTTTTCATGTAAATTCTGTACTCTTTTAGCTAACAATACTATATGGTTAATAGATGAAAAGGGAATTTTAAAGCTTACCATCGAAGTTTCCTTGTTAATCTTCCTAAAATCGAGGTGTATGGTTCAGGAAAAGTGTTTCTGAATGACATTGGCAATTCTTTTACTCATATGAGGAAGTTGTTTAGCATTTATCCAAGTGAGCACAATATAAAATCAAGTGATTTAATTTCTTCTGATATTTGTTCTGTTCTGCTCTACAGGAGTCACAAATGAAGTCAGGAGGCCAGCAAGATTCCGGTGCAGTTTAAAGAATGTTTACTTCCAATGCAACCGTTTAATCTTGGCTTCGCGTTTTACTTATAAACCTTGTTATTATATCTTTGCTACAGGCGAAGCATCTCAGAATGGCAGTGGTACACATGGCTCTCATAATGGAGGGCCAAATACACCCCATTCAACGGTGAATCAACCTATGCATATCATGCCAGTGTCTGGCAGTGCAGGTGGTGTTCCTGGCCCCACCACTAACCTTAACATTGGTATGGACTACTGGGCTGCAGCTCCACCATCCGCTATTCCTCCAATGCGTGGTAAGGTGTCTTCTGCTCCAGTGACCGGAGGAATGGTCACTGCTGGATCACGGGACAATGTCCAATCCCAGATTTGGATACAGGTTTTCTTCTCTTCCCTTTATTTAAATGATAATTTTTATTCTCCTTTCCCTTTTGGGGTTTTCATGAATTTGTCGTGGTTAACATATTAAAGAATTGGGGTCTTGGGATTTTAAGTTTCTTGTCCATATGTAGGTTAATTACACAATGAATTCACTCAGGAAAAGGGTGCCTTGACAATTAATTACAATGATAACCTTGCACGACATCACAGTTAAATTTGTTTTAATTTTACAATCAAAATAGCTTATCTGATTGTTAATGTTAATTTTAAATTTGTAACTGAATACATCACTATATTTTTTCCTTTGCTGTTAACGTGTGTGATTGAATTGATATGCTTTTGAAGCCGGGGTTTGGAAGTTGGATATAGAATGTTTCAAAAACTATACCTACTTATCTAGCTTTTTGTTATTTCCACTGTATACTCCACTTTTAGGGACTGGCTGATTACTGCAAACTTAAATCTACATGTCTTTGCATTGAAATGTCATTTTATAACAGGAAGATGCGATTAACCATGTATTTTGATGTCTCATGGGATGAGGCATATGCTGATTTGGTCATTTATTTTGAAGTCTCATTAGACTAGGACGAGGCAGGCCCGCCATTGTTATTAAATACTTCAATCCAATTTAGATAATGTTTAAAAGAAAACATAAAACATAAACTGCTTCACATTGTAGATAGAAGGCCCTTGGCATCTAACTATTTTCCAAGTTTTGAAATAGAAAACGTTGACTAGATATCTTTTTACTTCTTCTTCTGCCCCTCTCGATATTTTAATACCTGAAAATTAGAACAATTACAAAGAAACTCTAATACCGAAACGGTACAATTGAGTTACATTTTCATAGACCAGCTAATTTTTCCAATATTTGGTAATATTTTATTATTATTATTATTACTATTATTATTCTTATTCTTCCTTTTTTGGACTTCTACTTGCATGTAATAAGCATAATGTTGAAGCTTGAGGTTTATTTTTTATTTATTTATTCATTTTTTAAATCTATGAGCTAGTGGGCAGACCAAGCCTGAATTTAGGAGTGAAATAAACCTCATAGCTGGGACTTTGCCAGGTACTTGACTTCTTAGCATTTTCTGGAGGCTCCTAAGAAACTGCCATGGCTTTACTTAGAAATTATCTATCTATTATTTTTCCTTTTATCTGATCTTGTACTTAAACTCTTTGAAAGGAGAGCTGGTAAACCGGTAGTATTTAATCAGTTTGAGGAGGATTAAAATGCAGGACCCAGTATTGTGCTGTATACAAACTTGGTTATTTCTATAGAGCTGAAGGCAAGTCTCTGAATGGTGGGTGGAAGTTGCTTTAGTGAGCCAGTGGTGTGACTAACCATTTCGGCGTAGTGTAAATAGAGCGAGAAAGTAATTTCTTAAGCCTACATCTTCAGTCTTGTCTTCTGGGCCCTGTTTTAGGCCTGAGGCATACCTTATGGAACATGTTATATTAAAAGGAACAAGGTTTTCAGATTTCTAACTTTATGGGTCTGGCGTATAAATTCTTCGTACTTTGGGGAATTCCAGGATGAATAAGATGTTACATGAGGTTTTTAAAATCACAAGGTGCTTCGGGTTTTTAGGTTTCTGTAAATTTTTCTTCATTGAGAACCAGTTGCAGCAATGGAGTTCAGGATTTTTATTTCTCCAGCTGTTTAACACTACTAAATTTATCAAATATGTCTCGTTTAGGGTGTCTAATTTGAAGACTGGGAAGTGATAAATGGACTTGATGTCTCGGTTCCTTATACAGTGTGATTTTTTTATTCATTTTTGTTTGTCATCTTTCAGACACTGTACTGGTAAACGTTGGGAAGAATCTAATGAACACATAGAAAAAATGCGAAGCAAGCAAAACCAGCAATAATCGAATCCAACGGGAGCAAGACCAGTGGCAATTATAATATTGCAAGGGTGGGTGGTCCCTGCAAAATAATCGATGCCAGTAGACTGTTTTGCAATTGCTTATTGTTAACACTGATGTGTGATTGGATGAGCACTCTCTTTGACAGAATAATTTATCTGGCTTCCTAATCCATCTCCTTCACAAATTATAACCCCGAACACCTTTATCTTTCCTTGAGTTCAGGATGAAAGAGAGCTCAAAAGACAGAGAAGAAAACAGTCAAACAGAGAATCAGCTCGTCGATCGAGATTGCGAAAACAGGTCAGACAGTTATTTCCCACTTTAAAGTTGCTTTGCCTGTAAAGATTTCATCCCTGAAACTTTTTGTTTCCATACGTGGGACTCAGGCAGAATGTGATGAACTGGCCCAGCGCGCTCATTATTATTAGAGAACGAAAATGACAAAATATCCTTAACCATTATCTTTAAAAAATGAAAAATAAGGACAAAATGAACATTGCACCATTTGGTGCAAAAAATGCAGTAATGAATAGTGTTGCACCAAATATTGTGCAACACTTTTCATGTTGCACCATTGTGCCCAAAATTTGGTGCAATAGTTGGAGGAAATTTGCACCAAATCTTGGTGCAATGATGCATCCATTGGAGATGTCCTCATAACTTCGGTCGAGAATTTTGGAATATTTGAGATCCTAATAAAATAAATGTTGATCCTTAGATTGATTTAAATTATTTGTTAAATTTTTTTGTCAAAAGTCGAAATGTTTAATCTTAACCATTATAGACATGTGACCTCTTACACATTGTTCTAGACGGAAAAGAGTATATTGGACTCCTAGTCATCCTTACATAGACATCTCATCAATTACATCGCAATGATTCAAGTGTTAGATTACAATTGTCCTAAGCTGCCAGGCTTCAGACCTTAATTGTCTCGGATACTAGATGCATGTCTGACATAGTTATTGTATAGGTTTCCGTTGATTACCTTGGGCACGAGAAGTGGAGGGTATGTATGGAGTTACGTCGCTTAGAGAAAGATGGGTGTTTGAGGCGACTGTAGATATCTCCATCACCTCTATTGTAAAGAGTGGAGTTGTTCCAATGAAAAAGCCCTTCAACATTTTAAGGAATTTATGTGCACACGACTACTTAACAGTTGAATTTAGCAAAATTGGACGGCAATGTTGTATTTCGCAACATTCTTTTTTTAGAGTGTATTATGCGAAAATAAAAGTTAAAATTGTTCTTATGTAAAACATGTAAATTTTAGGACTGTTTTGCGCCAATTGACTCTAGGGGGGAACATGATTCGGTTTGGCCAATTTGAAACAAATTTTCAAACCAAACCATTTAAAGTGATTTGGAATTTTTTTCAAACCAAATCGAACCACTTTGATTTTTAAACCTAACCAATCTAAACTATTTTTTTAGGTTTGATTCAATTCAAAACCACGTTTAATAAAGAAAAAATTAATATATATATCTAATAAGTTAAATAGTAAATATTAGTCTAAAATTTTAGGTTAGAACATAAATTGTATCTGTAAAAAAATTACAAATCTTGGTTATATAATTATAATCATTATAATGCAACAACATGATATAAATATTTTGAATTCTTAGTCGATACAATGGCGTTCATCCGCAATTACGATACACGATTCATTTTCTTCATAAATATAAAAATATAGTACATGAATTCATTGATTATAGTTAAATGATATAAAATAATTAATAAAAAAAACGAATAAAAAAATTCAAATACAATAGTACCTAGTTACTATGACTTTTTGTGAATTATTCAAGACTTCTACTTCATCCAAATATTGCCGCCCAACAATTATTAGAACAAAATAATATAATTACAAATAAAAATATAGAAAACAATTACCAACAAATAAAAGAATTTTGGTAATCTGACTTGAATTTAGGCAAAATTTGAAAAAAATATTAGAAGGAAATGAAATGTGTAAGTTTGAATTAAAATCTAGATTTTATTATCTACTCAATTGTAATGGAGGATCAATGAATATGATTAAATAACAATTTACCCAATTTAAAAGTATTACATTCACAGTTGTGACGACTGATGGGTATTTGGATATGATTAATTAATTAATTGAAGTATATAATTGTCGAATTGAGTTTAATTGAATTATGTCTAACATAGATGTAACCTTTTAACTAAAATGTGTTAAGTTTTAATTTGGTTAAAATAAAATTTAGACTAATTTATTTTCAATATTTTTAAACGGTTTGATGGTTTGAAACGATTTGTAAAGATTGAAATATAATTAAATGTTGACGGATCCACATGAGACCAAACCAACGATTTCAGGAAAGCATTTTCAGTTCGATTTTACAATTTGACAATTTTATTGTTCAGTTCTTATTGCCTCTATTCTTAGGGAATAGTATATAATTTCTCAATGTATCTAATTTTCAACTATTAAGAGAACTTTGGTTATCATAAATGGGAGAATGCACATATGACGTTGATTATATTTTTATCAAGAGTAATGTTATTTACAGTCGCTATCTGTCTTAGTTGCCTTACGTAGCATACATGTGACGATTAGTTATTTAATGCTTTAATGTCGTAATTTTTTTATTGTCTTATGTATCAAATCATTAATAGTCACATGTATGTTACGTAGTGCGACTGCGTAGTAAACGATTGCAAACAATATTATTCTTTTATCAAAATTACGATTTTGATAAAAATCGTAATTTTAATAGATTTAGATAAAAATTTGATGAAATGTGTGATTGAAAGGTTATGAGACTTAACCCCCTTTTGAATCTCATTACATTAAATTTTATCAAGTTTCATTTTTTCTCTAGCTTAATTTTAACAACACAATTTTTTATAAAATAATATTATACGTTAATCGAAAATTTTCCCTTCTTTTTCAACCACTCATTTAAAAAAATAAAATAAAAATTATTTCACTTATTTTCATTTCCAAAAAATGGGGGTGAAATATTTTATTAAAATTTTAAATTCAGAAACATGATATTTTATACCACGTAATTCAAACAAAAATTCAACAACTACGACTATTTGACTAAAACCATGATTTTATTTTATTAAAATAGAAGAGCCGAGAATTGCCACGTAATCATCCCTTACAAAAGAGGAACCAACACTCACAGAAAGGAAACGAATAAAATAAAAAAGTCAAATACAATACTGAGAAAGAGAGGGACCGATTATGCAAATTTCCGGCTTTTATTCCGAATTATCAGTTGTTCTTCCGTCGGCCGGCGCCTATAGGTCACGGGAATTCAAGCATTTCCACTCACTCTCCGACCCCAAGTGCAGTAATAGGATCCCAAGGGTAAGCATTTTCATCTATATATATTTGTATTCTGGAAACTACAATTTTTTTTTTCTTTGAGTCAATTGTTTTAAGTTGTGTGTAATAGACTTATAGTGGAAATTAGATAGAATAGCTTCTGGTGTTCGACTTATATAGTATTGAGTAAATGAGAGATGCATAACGAAGTTGTTTCCATCATGTATGGATTTCGAATAGTTTAATTGAACTGAGTAAAAAGAGATTATTTAAAGTTTAAATCTGACTTTTCGTTGTCATAATTAAAAATCCGAAGGTGTTTTTTGTTTATGCAAAATAATGCAATTGATGGTCAAAAAGTTTCCCATTTTTATTCTGATAGTTTATTTTTATTTTTTGTTTGGGGGTAAGGTGTCTAGCTATCCCGTTAAATTTTTCTTCTGTCAAAACTGTTCAAGAAGGGATTGTGGCCAGATAAATGTAATTTTAAAGTATCAAAGGCAACCACCATTGTCTATGAGTAGGGAGGTCCCAGAGAATTTTGTGAAGTTGATAGAAAAAATGGTACCAAATATGCATTGCCTATTGCAGTTGAAGACGTAGAAACAATGAGGTCCAACTCTGATATTACCACTGACGAAATGAACAATAGCATAAATAAAAGTGAATGACTGCAAAACAAATGGATAGGAATAATGGTGTTCTCCAAATCCTTACGAGATTCAATTTTGGGAGTAAGGGCGAGACTCTTGAATAATAAGCACCTCGCCATTGTTATTAGCGGATTAGCTCCATCAATATTTCATTTCATTACCCCTCGAGTAGAGATTGTAATTTTGCAGAAGCCTATGAACTCTTGCCAAGTCCTATGCATATAATGCAACTATTTAGCTATCCACTGTAGCACAGATGTTTTTGCTTCCAACCTATATTAGCATACAACTCTCACAAACACAATATTAGTTGAAACTTGAACATAAAACTGACTTATTTTCATTTTTGTTTTCTTAGCCACCTGTTATAGTACTTTCAATGTTTGGCTATTAGATGAATATATAAGCATTAATTCACGTGATATTGGAGTAGGTGGAAGGTCTTGAGTTCAGTCACTTCATTTCTGTTCTATTTAAGATGTAATTAACTTGTATAACAGTGAACATGTGGAAGATGTCAGTAGCTAAACTATGTCCTTTGGAAACAACTAGAACTTTTAGACGATTATTAAGAGAAAGTTTTCTGGACAGATCACGTGGATTGTCATGCCCTGCTGCTGAATGTAGAAATGATTTGACATGCAAACACCAGAGTGCTTGAGATTTGCAACCTTTCTTTAAGATTTTCAACGACATGCCAATATTTTTGCTATTTTATTTCGTTGAACTGTTCTTCATTTTCTGCTCTGAAGTTAGACAAGGCTTGTATGATTTTTTTACACAAGCTTTACTTCTGCACTAAATTTCTCAAACATATTAAAGCATAACAAAATCAAATGTGGCAGATAATATCAGACCTAATTGATAAATCTTCGACATAAATTTTTATATCACTTATCGTTTTATTCATCTTCATAAACATTTGTGTTTTTAATAATGCTCAGTTTTCCAGTTACACTGAAACTTTATTTCATAGGCCACACATGGTGAAGATAAATATGAAAAACTATTTGCATGTTTTGGAGTGTTGGGGAATGGTTTGATAGGAGCACACCCTGTTCTAATCCTCACTCAACTATTATTCAGTATATGTGCCCAAAGAATGTTAGTTTACTCTCCAGTTGATCTATTGATGTTATCCATATAGTCATTAAAGATTATGGGCATGGCTCACCTTGTGAGTTGTAGTGGCTTAGTATTGACTTATGAGCTTCACTTTTTAGTTTGTGCCATATTCAAAATGCTGGTGTTATATGTATCTTCGGCCTAAAACCTCTTCGGATTTCTTTCCTAACAGTTTATCTTACTTTCTAGGGCTGTCAATTTTGTGCTCCCAAGCTAGTTGTTGGGTCGGATAAGTTAAGGAGGAGAAGCTTTACTGTCAGAGCATCCGGGAATTCTGGGGGTGATTTAGTTCCAATAGCTCCTCTTCAGTTGGAATCCCCAGTTGGGCAGCTTTTGGCCCAAATATTGCTAACTCATCCACATCTGCTCCCAACAACTATTGACCAACAGCTTGAGACCCTCCAGAGTGAGAGAGATGCCAAAAGAGAGAAAACACCCCCTGGATCTCAAGATCTTCTCCTTTATAAGTAAGTAGTAATTCTATATGCTGTTATTTGTTAGATGTGTCAGTCAGGTTCATATATTTGAATGGTTTGGACTTATGACACATCCACATAATTGATTTTAAATGCCTTTTTTCGTATGATCAAACTGGCTTCAAATTTGAATTTAAAGCTAAACTCTGGTGAGGTTAGCTATTCAAGTCCCACATAAACGGCTGAGACATTTTTATAATTAATTTTAGGCTTGGTGGAACAACATTGATTGCTTCAATGGTTTAGTTGACTTTAAACTAATTTTGTAAAATGAGTTGGTGTGGGGGTTGAATTTGGACACAATCAATTTATCTAACTTAGTACCCTCTTTGTTCAGACACAATAAAAGAGGAAAAAGGTTTCATCTCTTTTTTTTTTTTTTTTTTTTTAAAATTTAAAGGTTTTTTTTTTTTTTTTTTTTTTTGTCGTTTTAATCATATGAAACAATCATGTAGGAGGATAGAATATGGAGCTCCAGCCCCTACCAGTCTTGTTAGCAGACTTATATTGGCAAAGACGCATGACATTCTTTCTATTGTTCACAAGTACAGAGGTGGACAGAATATTGCCAATAAACATTATTGGGCTAAAGGTCTACTCTTCTCACTTTTACCATCAAATTTTTTTCCCTATTTTGATTATGTAATAAAACATATAACTAGATAAGATATTGATCTACAATTTCTGTTAATATGATGGAGTGATGGTTATAATAATATCTATATATTGTAATTAAAATAATATCTGTAATGATTGACATTAAAAATCAAAGCTCCATGATGCGTAAATTATTAGAATAAAAAAGTTTGCCTAGTGAGCTAAGGAATATGGTGACCTCCCACAAGTTGGTCTCGTTAAAGATGAGATTTAAATGATAAACATGTATGATATACATGTGACCCTCTCTAATAGCTTAAGCTTTTAGATCAATTGATTAGGTTCAAGTCTTATCGCTCCCAATTTATTAAAAACTTGTACAGGTGTAAGGCTTTGATGGTAAAAAATGAATTATGCCTACACTTGGGGTGCATTGCAGATAAGATTTAAATGATACATGTGGCCTCCTCTAACAGCTCAAGTTTTTGGATCCATTGGTTCAACAGTTCTTGCTAGCTTTGGAAGAAGGGTTTTTTGAGAGGAAAACTAAAATAAAATTAGACACAGAGCCTTACGACACTATTAGACTATAAATGCTGGCAGAATGAACATTACAGTCCGTAAAGACTCGTGAACGGACAAGGTTCTTTTAGTTTGTTGTTCATTGTTGCATTAATCACTGTTGTGCTACTCTCACTCAGTCTATAATTGCTGGCAGAATAGACTTTATGGTCCTTAAAAACTCTGTAGATGGGCTCACACAAGACATAGCTGAAAGTAAAGCAAGGAGAGGATATGTGGATTTAGTTTCCCCTTTTGCATCTTCAATGTTAAATTATCGTAAACAGTTTGAATACGTGCCAACATTTCATTTTTGGCATAACTATTTATGCTTAATATGCTTTGGTAATCCAATTTTATTTTCCATGTATCTGAGTACAAAAATTCAACAAAATGATATATGAAACTTTTAGGCAAAAACAACATAACAAGGTAGTTTTCTGCGTTGTCAATATATTTAAAGTAAGGTTTAAATTGTATTCTTTGTACTTCTCACTTGTTCCAGATATATATAAGTTTGAGCATTACCATTTAAAACGTTTCTTATTTTAATTCCTGTCTTGGTTTGGTGTGTGTAATTGATTGTTAAGAGTATTAGTTAGTTTTCAAGACTATCTATCTTCTTTCTTCTTTTAACATTTTAAAACTGGTGAATATCCTATAGTTGACTTTAACATATTATGCAATAGGACTCTGATTCTAGATTTCATTTTGCTCTTAAAATTACAGCCCGGAATACATCCCTTGCCATTACCAGCTTAGGCCCTAGGCGTTGAACTTTCTTTTAGTGGGCTTAGTCTTCAGATGGTTTTTCATTGGTTGTGTGATTTTTCTCGTTCGTTTACTTGTTGAGAGTTGAGACTGTCGGGAACAGTAGTGGCAGATGCATCTGATTGCACTTTCTGGGATTGCATTGTCATTATCCTTTGAAGCCAGTGTTAAACCGAATGCTTATTAAAATTTAGCATCTTCTATTCCAATTGTACTTTAAAGGAAATAATCTGAACAAAAGCTGGATTGAATTGGACCTGCATAGCCAATATATTTGTCAACTTCTTGAGATAATGTGCTAACAACTTTTGTCTGATTATGAGCTAATTTCTGAGGTTGAGAAACTAGAAATTACGCTTGTGTTAAGAGACGGCGACTCAGTAGGTTTGGAATGCAGAGGTGCAAAATTTTTAGGTGCTAATGTAATAAATTTAATGGGATCATAATATTGGATTCTTGAGATGAATTTTCTTTTCCGAGTTTCTCTCCTCTCAAGAGAGCGAATTTTGCTGATTTCCTTGTTGCAATAGATTTACCCCTGTTTGATCCCCATTTTTGGGGGTAAAATGTATTATGGAATAGTGGTTTTTTGGAATATGTGTGGTTAATAAGTAAGGAATTTTTTTTGAAATACGTGTATAATTATTTTATGGGAGAATGTGTGGTTGAAAATGAGATTTGAAAAAATGGTACTTAAACAGGGGCTTAATGGAATAAAATGAAATGCAAAGAATTAGCCATATTCCGTGAGCATGTAGGAGCCTCCAGACAGGTAACATCTGTTGAAAGAACCTGCCAATCCTTAATTTTCCTTTTTCTTTTTCAGAAGGATAGCTGAAGTGAAAGAAAAAGAAAGGCGAAAGATATTGGAGGAGATCATATATTGCTTGATTGTACAAAGATTTGTAGACAATGGCATTTCGATGATCCCAAAGATATCTTCAACGTCTGATCCTGCTGGAAGGGTGGATTTTTGGCCAAATCAAGAACAGAAGCTGGAGTCCGTGCACTCTCCCGAGGCATTTGAGATGATTCTTAGCCACCTGTCTCTTGTCCTCGGCGAGCGTACGGTGGGACCCCTCGATACTATTGTTCAGATCAGCAAAGTAAAACTCGGAAAGCTATATGCTGCTTCTATTATGTATGGATATTTCCTCAGAAGAGTCGATGAAAGGTATCAACTTGAGAGAACGATGAATACCCTTCCAGAAGGTTTCAATGAAAACTTGGCACGATTTGAAGAGCCTGTACCGGAAAAGCAGCAATGGGATCCAGATTCTTTGATACGAATCTATCCCGATGATGGTGATGGAGGAGGTCTAACAGATTCCACCACCGAGGGTAAATCATACAGATTGAGATCCTATGTAATGTATTTGGATACAGAAACGCTTCAAAGATACGCGACCATAAGATCTAAAGAAGCGATTTCTTTGATTGAAAAGCAGACACAGGCATTGTTCGGGCGGCCTGATATTAGGGTCACAGGAGATGGCTCCCTCGATACGTCAAATGATGTAGTTGTTTCTGTTACGTTCGCTGGACTGACCATGCTGGTACTGGAAGCAGTTGCATTTGGTTCATTTTTATGGGATGCTGAAAGCTATGTAGAGTCCAAGTACCATTTTATTAACAGCTAGAGGTATTTTTCTTCTTTATGACCCGTCTGGATAAGTAAATAACGTTTCATCTTTGTAAATTACCGTGCATATCAATAACCTTTCAAAGTACATTGAAAATTAATCATTATTTCAACAGTTTTTGTCTTGGGCAAAGTACATTTAATTTTTTAGCCCTGCTTTTTGGCAAGGCTCAAGCCAGGCCAAAAAACACGGCGGCCCCCTGTTTTTTGGCCTGGCCAAACAGGGTTTTTGTTAATTTTTTTCCTTGTGCGAGCGAAAAGGGACTTGATAATAATAATAATAATAATAAAGGGTTTCCCATTCTATAGGAATTAAGAATGGCAAAATTCATTAATCACTAGTCAATAGGTTTTTCACTCATGCTTTTCTTCCTTCATGGTTCTATATTTTGGTGTCATAGGGACGGAGGAATTACACCAATCCATCATGAACTTGGTGGAAAGTCCATCCCAAGATAATTGCCCTCCTATCTTGACTTCATTAGATAGAGAAGATCACCAAGATTTCGTGATTCGCTGTCGAACTTATTCCAATTCCACATGGAAGAAATGAAAGATCATTTAATCATCATGAAAATATATATGCCATCTTTTAACAAAGACTTGTGTTTCTCTAAATTTCTCTTTAACAAAATATTGGAGATCAAAGCTCTTGACGTATACTCAAAGAAAGGAAAGAACGAATAATTAACTATTTCTACTCCCCAAGTTTCTGAATTACAACAAATGTATCTTTCCCTAAGAAGATTTAACGGAGACAAACAGAAAAGAATTGGAAAATCAATTCTCTATGCTCAAGTTGCAAGGTAGCCAAGTAAACAAGAAGGGTACCAGTTGAGCCATGTCATGGAAACTGGAAGGATCCTCCGATTTCATTATTGCCGGCCGGTGGGTTGATCGCAACCCAAAGAAGGGAAATAGTAATGGCAATAAGTCCAGACCAAACAAATACAATTGTTGGTGTCCTTCCTCGTCTTCCCATAAGTCCTTTTGCAAAGGGATATAGATGTGCCAACACCCAGAAGCTAAAGAATACCCCTCCGAGCAAACGGCTCCACTGAGGAATGGCACTATATATTGTCCGGCTAAAACCAACTGCTATCGCGATCAAGTTAGTCATCATGATAGTAATTGGCGGTATCATCAAGGAGGACCATTTTAAGATGTAGAGATCGGCATATTCATCATCATTATCATCACCGGCAGATTTTGATGTCAAGGTAAATGAGATCTCTATCCCGGCAATCACCTTCAGTAGCCCTTGGAGTACAGCAGCAAGATGAGCACTCGTGCCTCCAATCAACCAGAATTGCTCGTTTCGCCACCACTCTTCCAACTCAATGCCCGACCATTTGATCTCGAGCACGGCCAACATGCAAAGGGTCAAAGTGATGACCAGGAGGTAGGTGAGGAACGCCACATTCAGAGTCTGGACAATAAATTGACCAGAAAAGAGCGACAGCGCAGGGAGGAAGCAGTAAACAATGAGAAACACGGAAGTGAAAGGATAGATACCCACGTTAAGGTAGGCAATTCTCTGCAGAAGCTTCATCTTGGGACTCGCCAGTAACGCATTATTACGTGAGAAGAAGATCTCCACAGAACCAGTGGCCCATCGAAGGACCTGGTGAAGCCTGTCAGTTAGATTAATTGGTGCAGTGCCACGGAAAGCATCCCTTTTAGTGACACAATATATAGATCTCCAACCACGATTGTGCATTCTATAACCAGTTACCACATCTTCCGTCACGGATCCGTAAATCCACCCAACCCGATTGCCCCACTCAGTTTTATCTTCGTACCAACATGAGATGACGCTAATTGCTTCAGCAACAGTAGATGCGTCGAGGAGTTCCCTAGGTATGGTTAGAGCACCGGGAGGTCTTCCATTCTTCACTGCAGGGTGATCTGCTAGTGGTCTGCCTTGGAATTCTGCCACTGGAATAGAATCAATAAGGAAATTCGAGTTCCCAAATCTTTTAGAATAGACAGAAGGATTCATTTCCTCGTCATCAGAATCTCCCATTCTAAGTGCTCTATGCTCATCAGGTGCAGAAGAAATGGAAACGCCTTTCTGTGGACGAGGAAAGCAACAGCTGCAGCAACCTGAGTGGTAATCTTTAGACCGTGGCGGATCAAAACCATAAAGAGCCGTCCGGCGAAAAAGGCACCCGGTGCCCACATAAACTGGACCCTGAAGCCCATCTAGAGCCCGCATATTGACATCAAAGAAAACAGTGTTGTGATTTGCATAGCGGTCGGATGGATCTATTCCCTCGAATCTCTGAGGAAACTGGACATAACAAATGCGGTCCCCACCTCGGTCCATCATAAAACACATGCCTTCTCTTATTGCCTCGGAGTTGTAAATGTAGTGATCACAATCGAGGTTAAGTATGAAAGGGCCATTGGACATGATGGCTGAGGCTCGAACCAGTGCATTCATTGCCCCAGCCTTCTTATTGTGATCATACCCAGGGCGTTTTTCACGAGAAACATAGACAAGCATAGGAAGCCGAATATCAACTTCGGCAAAATCAAGTGGACTACTGTCAACAGTTGTTCCCTGTAGAGGTTCATCACTTGGAGGTTTTAACATTACCTGCAGAGCAAGATTTCTGGTCAGCTAATTGAACACTCAATGGCATATTATTTGTTTGCACTTTCAAAGATACAACAAAAGAGATAATGTGCTTTCAAACTGGCCCATGACCAATCTATGGGGCCAAAGTTGCACCATAAAGCATCATTTATACATATTTATATGATTAGCATATAATGAGCCTTTCCAAGAAATTTTTTTAGATGGCCTTGGTTAAAACTTGGAAAGATGCCGAACTGCAGATAATGGCACTAAAGGTTGTCCTAATCAAGTGTTCTGCAACCACTCCATTCATAGAATAATTTGATTCTAATTGTCTAATAAGCAAGCACAAGAATTGGCACAACATAGATTGTACTAAAACGTACAAATTGAAGCTGAAACCAAATGATAGGCACAGTACGTGCCAGTGATAAATGGTGCATTGTTATATACTGTAAGTTGAATTTACAACCAGAGACATTAAATGACTAGAGGAGAGTCCAAGGACTTGAATACTGAATCAATGGTAGGAGAAAGCACTTCAGTCGTCCAAAACAGCAGGAGATAACCAGAAAGCATGAATCAATGGCTGTCAAAGGCTAAACTCCTCTAAATACTAACCGAAGCGATAAGCACAACCTAGTAAGAGAAGAGGTACATTTTCTATCACAAGGGCAAAAAAGATCCAGGTTAAGTTACTAAATTCAGAGCTAATAGTTAATCATTAAAGACCAGTGGCCAGTGGACAACTGACTGTGCCAAAAGCAAGAGAAAATCCATGTCAGTTCTTTGTTTCAAGAACATACCTGAATGATTCCTGCATGGTCACCCCTAGAGTGCTCAGGAGCAGAAACAACCCAAGTGCCAGGCCAGTGGGTTCCATCAGCCATCCATGTGGCTTTACAGACTTTCACCGATTCCATTGGTTCATCCCCAGCAGTCTCTCTCTGAAGCTTTATGGCCTTTATTTCTTCACGTGCATTATAGGCGTCAGAACGACGACGAATTGAGTCAGGAAGCCCATTGATCCGAACCTTGAACTCATCATATTCACGTTTAACCCTTCTACGATCCTTGACAAAGTCTGGGCGCACCTTATTCTTAAAGGGATCCTTTTTCAGGCTGAAGTAAGATTCTGGGTTTCTTGGTTCAATCTCATGTTTTCGACAGAATGGTACCCACAAGTTTGCAAAACTTGCAGCTTCTGCCATGGCCTCAAATGTCAGAAGAGCACCTCCATCATCAGAAACATAACAAGAAAGCTTATCAACTGGGTAATCAGCAGCAAGAATAGAAAGAATAGTGTTTGCAGTAACAAGTGGTGGTTCTTTTTCAGGATCAGCTGTAGAAACAAATATATCTACTCCTGGAAAATCAGATTTCCCGGTTGGATTTGCGGGACTGGGTGTTTCAAACTTTTCTTTCAACACATTAAGATCGGTTGCACGATTAACAGGGCACAACTTCGGAAGTTGGTCAAGCAGCCAAGAGAATGCAAACCAAATCTCACAGATAACTGACATCAACCATAGCCATCTTGCATCCTCATTGGGGTTGCTAATCCTCCATTCAAGAAATAGTCCGAGAACGGCCATACGGACTAAGATTAAGAGTCTGAAAGATAAATATTTATGAGACAAAAAATGTAATTTAAAATGTATTCAAGAAGATAGTTCAATCGTAGCTTAGAAGCAGAGGAAAAATTAATATTGAAAGACTGAAAAATGTAACATTTGCTGGGAAAAATATAAATGGATGCCAGCAGCTTTCATCAACCTTAAAAACAACAGCCACTGTTGTTATTTTACCCTTAAAGAGTGCAACTAGTTACAAACTCATAGGGGTTAATTACTTTATTCAACCAATACTAGGACATTTAAACAAAATGCTAGTTTCATATAAACAAAAGAAAGCTTTCCGAATAGTATGTCCGATTTAAGCCTCATCAATTATGCACACAAAATGATCAGCAACAGATTACACAGAGCATGGCATCAGTATACATTTTCATGTCATACATATCAAAAGGGGGCAAACATCAGTTCATTAATAATGCTACCAGGGGCAGCCCTCGGATTAGGCAATATAGGCAGCTGCCTAAGGCCCCCAAAAATAAGGCACAATTTTTATATTTCTTCTGATTTTGAAAGTAGGCCCATATATTTTTGTAATGTAATTTTGGGTGAAGTCATTAATAGCCAAAGTAATTACTTACGCCCATAAAATAGTCTCAAAATCTTCTTTCAATCAAAACACAATAACCGCAGCTCTGCCTTCGAAACAAATCACAATTCATGCAGCTCTGCCTTCGAAACAAATCACAATTCACGCATTCCCTCAACTATTAAGAATGTATCTTCAACCATTTCTAAATTTTTTTATTTTTAATCATTGCAAGTAATTTTTTTCAACTATTTATAAAAGGACCATATAAAGTGTGGCATAAGGGCCAGGAATGCTACACGAGCCATATCATAGGAAGCTTTGAGCATGTTTGGTAGGGATTAAAAGTC